CACAGCTGCAAACAGTTTAAAAAATGGCCGATCCAGTGAAAATCTGACCCCGCATAGCATGGGGATCAGATGAAGACATTTCAAAGCAGAGCATCTTCTGTAACATCTGTCTGCGCTGCATGCCAGTCTCAAGCTGTTTTCAGAATAGGATAGGGGAAAAGAAGTGGAGGGAGTTTGCTCTGGGGGGGTTTCAGCCCACACTGTTCTGTCTGCACCTGGAATTCAGTACAAAATGCAAAATCTTCTGGTCATTCTTGAGCATAGCTACCAATAATGCTGCCATCACTGTCCCCCTTTTGCTCAGTTGCCTCATGGTTAGTGCATTTGCCCAGGAAGTAGAAGACTTGAGTTGACTCAAATCCTCATCTTCCATTTCCCAGGAAATTGCCTGGAGCACCAATCTATAAACTAGTGGGCTAAGAGGGCCTGAAATCTAGGTCTTCTGCTTGCTAGGGAAGTGCCCCAGGCTATTATATCAAGGTGGCTGCTGTCATCCCCATCAACTATGTTTTAAAAGTAGAGAGAGAGCCACTTACCTGTATTGGAAGGGACAACTTAGGCATCTTAAGTCTAGGTGTGAACTTTGAGCTGTTAGTTCCAGACAATGTCTATGTTATGAAGTCTACACCTTACCTACAGCAGCCAAAATAGGGCAGCAGGGTCCCTGGCAGGGATGCAGCTCTGCCAGTAGAAGCAGTGTTGCCATCTTGGATCAGGTATAGATATTACACTCCTACTAGTATGAAAAGGTCCTTAGGTATAACTGGTCTATACCCATAACAGAATAAAAATTTGGCAAACATAGACTAGTTTAAATATGGTGGAAACTGGTCTAAGATTTGCCTCCCCACCAAAGGGTGAATGTGTATTCTGAACAAACTAACCAATGCTGCTTACAAAAAAAACACGTAACTTAGATCAATTCAGCCTCGGGCTTTTTGAATGTCTGCACCTAGTCATAGTGAGTTTGTCACTAGATTTACCAGCTATTTGGATTGCCTACTGATGAAATGTATGTATCAATGTGCTATGTGCAATACTTGGTAAATTATCTAGTGATATTGTTGGCAACTTTGGAAGTTTTACCTAATAACATCTGACCTAGGGACAGAAATGACACATACGCTGGTGATCAGAAACCAGTTCAGAGCTGTAACACAACAGAAGTTCAGTGTACATAAACAGCTTTCAAAATGGCTGAAACCAGTTTAAGATAAGTCTGATACTACATCCATCCAGATTTAACTGACTGAGGTTAAATCAGTTTATTGAACTTCTGTCCCAGTTCCCCTCCAGATTCAAGTTAACTCACAGTCCCCCAGCATCCCAGGATGCTTTGCACCTTCCCTCCAACCCCCCCTCACAGGGTGGGCAGGTTAGCTGTCACCCAGGCTGTCTGCTCCAGCTGAGCAGATTGGTGTGCTCTAGTGCCCCCTGGATTCTGGCCTGGGCCACTCCAGACGTATGGCTGCATTTCTGGAATGAAAAGTGAATATCTGTTCACTTACTTATCAGTTTAATTTATGCAATTTAGACTAACCTGCAAAGATTGAATCAAGTCTTTCCTGCCCAGATCAGGGGGGCTGGACCCGATGATCTCACAAGGTCCCTTCCAGCCCTCAACTTCTGTGAATCTATGTGTGAATTCAGCCTCAGGCTTTTTGACTGTCAGTACTTAGCTCGGGTGGCTCTCTAAGGCCTGTCTGGAGAATTTCTCTTTCAGGAGTTGTAGTACATGGTGAAAGCTTTCTGCTGGCAGGGCCCCATCCAAACAAAAGAGGTTT